AATGAAGTTTATTAAAAAGTCTAACAACTTCTATTTTAATTTATACAAATATATTTTTTAACATTACATTATTAATAAGAAAAAAGTCAAGTAAATAATTGAGTCTTTTTTCCAAATTCGTTGCAAGTACGCAATGAAAGGTAGTATGTAAGCAAAATTATAAGAAAGAAATTGTTTTGGCACATAAATTATGTTAAAGTGTGCACTCGACAAAATAAAAAAACTATGGTAGATAACAAAAGTATACAGGACTTCTTAATATATTAAATACGATTAAAAATTGTATGTTAATGGGAATAGAAAAAAGGGAGAATCATTGGGCCTGACTCTAGGAGTGATGCCCGCCATCTTGGTCCCGTCCGACCGCCACATATGTGCATTCACACACATGTATTGAAAACTATACACCTCGCATTTGTTTTAATTCTCCTATACGCCCCTATGTCCCGTTTTCCTCGTTTCGCGTTTATAAACAGTAATCGATACATCATAACCTTACTGAAGTATACACTAGTTGGATTACGATATCTTGTGAAAAATATACATCAAAATTTTGTTACTTTTTTACATCACAGATATTTTAATATAATATAATATATATATTTATTTATTTATTTATATAATATATTCATTTGTTAATCTTCGCGTTAAATCTTAAAAAGTGTTTCCTCTCTACCCCACTATCTCGTTTACTTGAATTGATCAACTAATATATCGCGATATATACCCAATTTCATCACTTGTGATAGAAAGGCGAGGAACCAGCAATGTTGACTTTTCTTTTGCAAATTTTCCCTTGACCTGTACAGGCAGCACTCTGTTTTTGATTTCACGTGCATGCACTTAGTATCACGAAGATATCTTTTACACACACCGCAATAAGTTATAGTTAAATATAATAAAATCTTTATACAATCTTTAGAACACTTCGAGTTTAACTTGAAATTATTAAAAAACCACGCATTCAAAGGCAACTTTGTGATATCTAATTACACAATTAATCAATCACTTACGCATTATGTGTTTAACAACTAATTAATTTTTCTAAAAGTATAAGTATGGTTATTTTATTTGATCTTTTATTCGCCATCTCCTTCAATAGATTCAAAAAATAACGAACGAGTATACGAAATCAAAGGAAAATTCGAAACGATGGAAAAAGGAAAGTCAAATTACGTTCAATGCCTTCCTTAAAAAATAGTGTTACAACGTTCGATATTGAAAAACAGTTTTAGTAAAATTCATTCACTTTTTTTCTTTGGAATAAATCGCTCATAAGCCTCAAGTAGCCTCATCACTGGATTCTATGCGATAAATAAATATTTTTTCCAATTTTCCACTAGCGATTTCTATCATTTATAAGTTTGTCGCTATATATAAATTTTTATTAAATAATGCGGTTATCCAATGTAACTGAAAACGGATTATTAAAAAATTACACGTCCTTTGTATACTTTTATAGTTGTAAAAAAAACTTTTAAATGTATATTTTTAAAAAATTTGTATGTTATAAAAATATTTTTTTTATCGTTTCATAGTAAATTTCAGCTGTAAATTGTCGTCGTATATCGAAATTACGAAATCGTAAAGAAAAATCCACGTAATGAGGCACTGAAGAACATCGAGAGGCGCGATCGTAATACCAATTTTCTCTTTTTATATATTCTTAGCAATCACTCAAAATGTCAGTTTTATTTCTGCACGCATTTAACTCATTTTCAACGAACGTGTAGCAACAAGTCCTTTAATTCGTAACTTTTTCTAATTAAAATGACAATCACGATAGCGATATACTCATTTGTATCTAATATATATATATATATATATATATATATATATATATATATATATATATATACATACATACATATATATATGTATATATATATATAATTTCCACACCTAACGATAAATTTGTTTTCCTTATAGATAATGAGTCTCGGGGAGAAAGAGCTGATTTAGAGTGAGATCGGGAAAAAGGAATGAGTGGACCACGATTGAAAGTGTAGCTTTTTTCTTGTAAACTGTTCAAACGTTTTGCTCGTCAAGTACGCTAAATCAAATGTTTGTTATTTTAAAAATAAGTTGAATGTTTACTGACGAAGATTATTTGTTCTATGTAAACACTAAAGACAAATTAATTCGATAAAATTTTTACTTCTCTGAAAATGTAACAAATGTTGCAGCGTTCTCGATTTACAAATTATTACACGTAATAACTTTAATGACTTTAACCTTTCTTTCGAAATATTCAAGTGTAATTCATGATTTCAAGCTTCAACAGTCAAATAAATTAAACTAACTTATCTTAGCGAAAATTAGTTTTTGAAAGATCTTTATTAAATGTCATCACGTGCAGGTTGTCGGTGTATGATGTTACTAGTATATTATCTGTGTGTTAGCGAAGAATATACATCTAATTTTTCTTAAAAATCTTTCTCCTCGAAACGATTTTTTAATTTTTTACTTTTTCAGGTGAGAGGTTAAAAGTGAACACTCAGAATAAAGAGTTTTCAGCTTATGAACATTGTCCAAGTAGCACATCAAAGTTCCTAACTTTCAGTATTCTTTTCTTATGCTTTGAGAAAATTTCCAAAAATGTCTATTATCATCGAAACTTTCTTTTCACCCTTACATGTAGGTGATGCTATACACACATTATCTGCTCTTTTGTCACACTCCCATAAGTCTTCGTATATAATATTTGATATAATTCTTAAAAACTGAAGAAAGTCTTTTGTTAAGTCTAAAGTGAGACCCTTGAAATTCCTTATACACTCGATTATAACTCGCGCACTGCTTTAGCTTTTGCACGAATAAATTTAAGTTTAAGTTCCCAAAAACACCAAGAGAGTAGCTTTGCCATTTATACGTGACTTTTTCGTGTATAATAATTTTCGTTAATATTCTTTACGATAAGGAAATGCATTTTTTAAACACCGAACATACATGCCTTACTTTATATACAGCCTAAAATTTCAGTCGAATAAGAGTCATGATGAGTGCGTAGATGTTCAATTCTTTTATTTGCTACCAAAAACTTTCTTGTTTTTCTATATTCTGTCAAACATTTTCTATATGTTTTGACGAGTGGTCCTTTTCTCGTTCCTTATCAATCCCATATTGTTCGTCTTGTAAAGAATTTTTCATTTTTTATTTTAAAAGCCGGTTTATCATCGTTTCAAATCCTCGTACTACACTTGAAGTCAAAGAAATCAAATTCTGAGAGACGCTTCACAGGTGGAACATAAAGGATTCAATTTCTTTGTATTCTTTTGTTCATCTTTTTATTACAGTAACTTTGCAGATACCACGTGGCTCGGAAGCAACGCTTCAGGAACTTGAGAATTCAGGATGTAATAGTCTTAAATGTGAAATCACTACCTTGAAAAATACAGTGGACGAGGATCAATATTTCTCTTTTAGTTTTAGAAATTTGACTTAAATATCGAATGCTCCGTTCCTTAGGCGTCTAGTAACTCTTGAATTCTTCATGTAGTTGGCAACTTGCTCTTCGATTGTTGCACATGGTCTGACATTGAATTTGAAACGTAGCGGTTTTGAGGGCGGGAACTGAATCTATAAGATAAATTTTATGACTATTCATCGCCGCTCAGAAATCTTGCGTACTCGATAAAATATCGGTGGTTCTCATACAAAAACGTGTGTGTGAACTTTGTCATCTCCTTTTTTTCTTTCTCCTTGTTTCCTGCTCTTTCTTCCTTCGGCAGCAACTGGGCAAATATTCTTGTTTCATACTTTGCACGATCTTGAACGATTCTTTTGTATAATTTTTTTCTCATGCAAGCCCAAAACTTCGACCCGAAGAAACTGAGATATCAGAGAATATTGTCGCTTTGTGGAAAACACATGATGACGCACACTATGTAAAATCTTGGCTAGCATCGTCGCCTTCTTCTCCATAACATTCTTTGTCGCCTGTTTTCTCAATTTTTCAATGACCAAAAATATATGTATATGTATACGTAATATATCATTCTTATACAGTTATGCTGCTCCCTTAAACTTTAAGTAGTGTTTATTAGTAGGTATAAGTTTGTTTTCGTACGTTAGGTAGTTTTACAGTGATTGAGAAAAAAATACGTTACGCTTGTCAATTTGTCCAAAACCTTCTTTCTCTAGCATTCCATCTATCATGAAATACGATATCCGATGAAATATAAATTACAGCTAGTGAGAAACGTTTATGGAATAATCTGGTGAAACTCTTCCTAAATACACTGGATTATTCCATTGATATCCTCTCACTTATTAATCGTACATACCGTATACACCGTAACTTGTATTTGTAACCGTTTAGCTTGTAATCATCGCATATATGGGACGTTTTTTAATACAAATCACACGTATATATTTTTTTTGTTAATGGGGGTTTCAGAGTACGTTGAAAAGGGTTATGCAGTCTTGCGCGGGTGTTTAGACATTAAGGTTTTTTTTGTATTTTTTTATATATCGTTTCGTTTAGAATTGATGTGTGAAAGTGTAATTTTTGTGTAGTGTTTGATACGTGTCGGATCGAAGCCAGTGCGCTCGATCAGCTATTTCTCGCTTTTTTCGTCTCGTGCACTATATGCATTTATTTTTCATTTCTCACAATCTCTCGCTCTCTTTCTCTCGTATTATTCATTCTTTCTCCATCATCAAAAGATTGATGCCGCGCAGACTCTGCAAGGCCGAGCTTGAAGAAGAGAACAGTTTGCGTTGCGATTCTCGTTCTGTACTTCTGTACTCGAGCCTCTTAAGCCTGGGAGACGCGGCGCACATTTAACTGTCGGAATCGTGGGTATCGACGGTGATTTGCTGTCGTATGGCGGCTTTGTCGCATACGTCGTTTTTGTTTGTTTTTTTGACTCATCAACTGGCGCTCAATGTTCGATTCACGTATCGTTCTGGCTCGAGACTTAGAATTCAATTCAAAATTCTTTTTTTCTTATATTTTTCCGCACAATCAAAGAATTGTGCATCTAACTGTTGCCAATTAATCCTTCTCAGTTTTATCACTGCCGTTATTTATTTATTCATTTTTTCGTTCCATTACCTATTATCGTATTAAGGACACTGTATAGAAAACGTGTGAAGGTGTAATTTCGATGAAAGTTGAGAGATAGAGTCAATAGTATGTAGCGATAGAAAAGATAAAGCTGCAAGTGATAGAATGGCGATAGTTAGGTACATAAAGAGGAGAGAGAGAGAGAGAGAGAGATCAATAGCTGTTGTTAGACAGTTGACCAGATGTGTGCTGACAAAGAGGCGCATTGCGTTGTGTGACGTCGAAGTAAAAATTTTCGTTGATGAGATAAATATCATGCATTTTGAAAAAGTGAACTTTCATCTTGATAGTTGAGAGCAAAAATTGCAAAGGGGAATCCAGTATAATACAAGATATGAATGGTCTCGCACACGTGCTAAGCTTGGTTGTTTTCGTATAACCTTAGTATTAGTGGAGCTAACTATTGCAGTAAATACGTTGTGTAGTTGTGGTTAAATAACTATTATAGATAGTTGCAAATTCTGGCAGATTAGATGATACCGAGAATGAAAATCCACTTTTCAAAGGCAGGGACATGTATTATTTTCATCACGAAGCACACAGACACAGACACATACACGCACACATAATGAGGATTCGAACTTTGGAACATCACGCTTCGTTATATCTGCGACCTCTCTCGCGCGAATGTCATAAATCAAGGAGGAGAAGTATACGTCGATGTAGGGTTTGGGTAGGTAAGTGTATCTGTGTGTGTGAGTGCGTGTGCGTGCGCGCGTGTGTGTTCGCGTATGTGTTATGTATCAATCGTATAATCGTATAAAGGGCCTCACCGGAAGGGTCACATCGTCGATCAACAAAACGACCTAAGCGATCATCGCGTATATCGCTCTGCTTAAAGCTCCTTTCGCACAAACTCGCTTCTCTCGAAAGAACGTCTCTCGCATTTCTCTCGTATAAGTTTCATGTAAACTGCGCGCGTATAGTTCATATCAGTATATCTCCTAATCGTCTCTCTCGTTTTATTTATTTATTTATTTTTTTTTGCTATCTCTCACACCGCCCCTCAATTTCTATATGATTAAGCGTATAACAGTAGTACTTATACATCCTGTCGACTGTCGCGCTACTGCTCGACCGATTCCTCCATCGCCGCGGGCGTCGACGGCGACGAGGGCTGCGGCGATGTCGCTGGTTGGCTGTTGCTCGAGGAGTCGTTGCCGTTGCCGTTGTTGTTGCTGTTGTAGCCGCGCTGCAGCTGCACGGCTAAGCCACCAGCTCCGGCCGCCAACTCTTTTTGCTGCTGCTGCTGCTGCTGCTGCTGCTGCTGCTGAGTCGTCGGGCTCGAATGATCTACTATAAGCTTACTATCACAGGCACTTTTTTTGTCAGTTGACACGGCGTAGAGGTTGTGTATGTCCGAGTAGTGGTTCAGCTTCTTCTTTGTGGACTCCTGCTGCTGCTCTTGCTGCTGCTGCTGGCGCTCCACTGTCTTTTCGCTGCCGCCGCCATTCTGTACCTATGGACATTCGATTAACATTAACACTAACGCCGCTAGTCCACCCGAAGCTAACAGTTTCGAATCGTATAATCGTCCCAGAATAAACCTCGCAGATGCGTATAGTGTGGGTTAGCATTTGATATGGCTCAGATGAGTTATATGACATTTGAGAATTTGCGTTTCGTGTTAGAGGTTTGATTGAAGCATAGGCGTGTTATACGATTCGAATAATCAGTAAAAGAACCGTACCCTTAACTATCACCGTTGTGTCCCACAGAAGCCATTACAGTCTCTAATCGTGAAACTACCTATAGACATATACAGTAATCAATTTAACTACTGTAACTGACGCATCCGAGAAAACAATATTCTTATGGACTGTGGAAAAATATTATCGAACGATTGATTGTCATCAAGTCTCGTCACATCAATTTTCCATGTATTAAATAGTCGTAATAATTTTCCATTTCCAACAAATGTAATTTGATAAGAAAGAGTATTAATTATGAAATATGAAAGTCGGAAAGAACGAGAAAGGTATCGAAAAGGAATGGTCAATTTAATAGAGAACCAGAAGAAAAATATCGAAAAAGAAAAAACTAAGCGAAATCGTGAGCGGTAAGGTAAAGAGAGAAGCGCAGAATCCATCACCGGCATCGGAAGCGGAGAGAGCCTAACTGACCTCGCGTTCTCGGCTACTCCTGGAGTCGCGCGTGGCTTCGTCGTCCCTGGCAGAGCAGCTGAGTCTGGACGAAAGCGAGGCAGGCGAAGCGAGACCTCGATCACTGCCAGCCTCGTCGTTGAGCCTCGAAGGCGACGGGCTGAGCTCGACGGTCGGCACTCGCTCGGGCCTTTTGGGTGCCGTCGCCGCCTCGTCCTCGCTGCTGTCCTGCTGCATGCGCCTCGAGTTCCTGCTCAGCTGGTCGATCAAGACTTTGCTCTCGGACTGATTGGCGTTCGCGAGCGCTCTCTCGCGCTGTTGTATCCCGGACTCCAGGCTCGACCTGATCAGGTTGTCCAGGAAGCTGCCGTTCGCCGCGGTGCCGTCGTACAAGCTCTCGGCCATCTCGCGCGGCGACTTCATCAGCGAGCCGCGGGAATTCGATGTACCTAGGTCGTTCGGGCGAAACGCAGCTGCTTGAAAATTGCCCGCGAAGCCGGCCGGCGCTCGGACGCTAAGTACCTGGCTGCTCGGCTGCGGCGCCGTCCCGCGCTCCGATAGCGTTGCGCTGGTCCTGGAGGCCGCGCATGCGCTGCGAGGCGAAGTACTGCTCGGGCAGGATGGCCGCGGAAACGTTGGGCCCGCCGGTCGGGATGAAGGGCGCGGGCATGAACGGCGTCGGCCCCCAAAAGTTGAAGGGGTGGGCGAACGGCAGGTGCGGCATGCCGTCGATGAACGGCGGCATCTTCATGCCGTTCGGGCCGCCGGGGATGCCCGCGGCAGCGGCGCCGCTGCCGCCGCTACCAGCGCCACCGGCGGCGCCGGCCCCGGACGCCGCGCTGCCCGGCGCAAACGGCTTCTGGTTTGGCTTGAGCGCCGCCTGCTTCTTGTCGGGCGTCGTCGAGGCTGTCGTGCGCATCGCCGCGCCCGTCGCCACCGCCGCCGCGGCCGCCACCGCCGCCGCGCCGTCCTTTGCTTTGTCGTCCGGTTGCTTCTGATCCCTGCCCAGCGAAAGCGATATGCTTAATTTCGGCGATTTGACGTTGCAATTAGGGCCCGATTATCGTCGATGAGACGGGCGCATCGCGGCACGTTACGTTTGCTCGCCTCCTGCGGAGCGTTCTTCAAATTGAAAAATACGTCATTTAACGGATTCGCAAACGAGTTAGACAGCTTTCGAGTAAGTTCGATCCGTGTGACGTAGCCGCTATAAATAGGTTTCGCCAGAGCGCCCTTTATTTTCAAGTAATGGAACAAGCGCGAAGCAGACTCGACGAAAACTGACCTCTTTCTCGGCCTCATGAGATGCCGTTCCTTCACCTTGTACTCAAGGGTGGAGTGCGGCACGCCGTAGTAGCTCCCGGCTCTGTGCACGCTCATTTCGCCTCTCTGCACGGCTCGCACCGCCTCGACCAGGCTATCCCTGTCGTAGTTGCGATACTTGCCGCGCTTCGGTCGCGTGCCCTTGCCACCCTGATTCTGTTTGTTCTGATTCTGCTTGTCCTGCGACTGGGCGGCTGACTGCTTCGACTGCTGGTGCGTCGTCTGTTGTATGATCGCTCCTGCCGCCGTCTGCTGTGGCTGCGTCGGTTGCGGAGGCGTGAAGCGCCCTCTTTTGTAGGGGTTCGGCTCGGCGATCAGCGACTGACCAGCTGCGGCTGCTTGGCCTGGGAGCAACGTTGCAAGGGTGAGCTTTCGCGACAAGTCTAATCATCGAGGCGAGTTTGGAATTTCTTTGGAATTTGTGTTCGCCGACTGTGATTGGCTTTTTCTTTCGTGAAAATTGTCGTCGAATATTCTTGCATAACGTAAGCTGTGGCCAATAAAGCGATAGCAAAGTCTTCGACTGATAAATGACAAATGAAAATGAGCGGTGAAAGTGGCGACGGACTCGCGATCGGGTGAGCGCAACGGAACAAACGGGATCACGTTCGGCTGCGGGCAGACGAGCAAAGTACCTGGGATAGGCGTTTGACCCTCCTGGAACTTGACGCTGATGCTTTTGGCAATGACGTCGCGGAAGTTGACGGTAGCCGCCATACCCTTGCCGACGAGCGAGTTAGTGGGCGAGCTCGTGCCGGAGAACGCGGGGCTGGCGCGCTCGAGCAGACCCGGCGAGGCAGCGACGCCAAAGCCTTGCGTGCTCGTTGGTCCTGGTGTTCCACCAGCTGCAGCGCTTCCGCCACCACTGCTACTACTCGCCGGCTTGTAGGACGGAATTTTGAGAATCGGCCGACCATGCCCACTATCGCTCGCCTCTTCCTCGAGGGCCGGATTGAAGTCGTCGTTTGTCATCGGCCCTCGCTGACTCGACTGTCGGGAGCATTGCCATTTTTTTTTGTCTCGATTATTCTCTCGAGTAATCGCGTAAGGCGAAGGACGAACCACAACATTCTATAAACATGCGGTTTAAGGGATGGGGCTCGTCAGCTGGTCGTCAATATACCTGTGACAGCCGATGCTGCAGTGAGGCAGCAGCGTGAAGATTTTGCACCTGATCGCCATTAACGTTGACCTCCTTGACGAACTTTTTATCGTCGCACATCAGCCGGCGCATCACCTCCGGGATCCTGTAGTCTTGCGTCTCCATTCCTGCGAATTTCGTGCCAACGTTACGTGTATTTCTCCAGAAACATACACCAACATTTTCTCTCTCTCTCTCTCTCTCTCTCTCTCTCTCTCTCTCTCTCTCTCTCTCTCCCTCTCTCTCTCTTCAATCGGACGAAAGCAAAATACGTCATTGCGTAACTCCGCTCGCGCGCCACTAACGTCAAAAAGAAACGCTTCAACGCAGGTATTTTTTCTTGAGAACTAAAAGCGAAGAAGAAGGAATAATTTGGAACACAAAAGACGTAAAGGAAAGCCGTAAATGCAACGGGGGCATCGAGGGCAATTGTACGTCGCAACTTTTAGGCTTCTTTGAAATCTCCTAAAAGTGCTAAAAGAGGAGGGAGGGGGCACCCCGACTCGGACGAGCCATAGGTATACGTAGGCAGCAGAGAGAGCGAACAACGAAAAGTGCTTGCAAAGCCACGTTATGTCAGCGGGTAGAAGAAAAGGAGAGAGAGAGAGGGGGGGGAGGTAGGGTCCGCTTATCGATTCGCGAAGACTTACGTGGTTGTCGCGGCGCGCCGCCTGTCGAACATCGTGTAGCTTTGGGTGCACGCGGATAAAGCGAGTCTCTTCCGCGCGTTGACCTAATTTCAGCCCTTCGCGCTTGTATTCGCGTCGTCGTCGCGAGTTCGAATCGATGTTGGCGAATTAATATAATATGTTATGCGCATGTACGACGCCTTCGAGACTGACGAGACGCAATATTAATGTGGATTACGGGTGAAGTTAATGAAGTGAGTGGAATTAGGGGGAGGCGTTTTATTAGTCTCTGCAAGAATACCAACGACTGCAAATGAAATAGAGTAGCTCACTCGGGCGACAAAGGCCGGTTTACCTTTGAAGGGAGCCGCAGCAGCGAGCATCTTTTGGATGTAAGGGCCAATGTTGGCGTGCCAATCGGCTTCGTTGCCGCGCTGCAGTAGCGCCCTTAACGAGTCACCGCCGCTACCCTCTAAGCTAGAGAACCTTACGAGATCTTCGAGCGAGAGCAGCGGCTTCAGCAGGGCTTTCTCCACTTCCTTTTCCTCCTCTGCGCCAGACAGCTCCTTGTCGTCCACCTGCCAATCCAATCATTCAAGCATACCGGCACACGACAAGGGAAAGAGCAATTCATATGCACGTACTCCTCTCCCTCGTCGTACCGCTTAGCAAACACAATAATACTTTTCGTCTTTTTGTTGCCTATTATCTACTGTGCGGCAGCTTTTCTTGCTCTCTATGCTAGCTGCAGCTGCTTGTGTTTCGTTTGTTTATTGGTTTATTTCAGTTCGAATAGAAGTTTATTCCAGTGGTCTTTTATTCAATGCCAAATACCTATTGATCTGCGATTCAAATTTCAAAGTTTTTCTCCATCTTTTCTAGCAGGAATAAACTTCTCTCGACACTATTTCTCATTAAATTTTCGAGAAAAAATCACGATATCATTAATACTGTTCAGCGCTTGAACTCTGCACCGATATTTATCTTTTCAAATTTTAAAAAGAAACAATAATTTTTGCTCGAAAAATACTGTTTGAAAGTGGGAAACTCTTATTTTTTATTTAGCTGCATTATTATTTAATAGCTTAAGACCTCTGTAGCATTATCATTTGAGTTTGCATGAGAAAAATTGAAAAATTCGAAATAATCGACGATAAAAAAGCAAGAATTTCCAACCAGTTAATGTTGTCGTGTGTCTGAGATAAAATCAAATAAACAAATGAAATGATAAAAAAACGAACATCACGTGCTTCGTGTCTGTTAAACATCGACGGTTATAATGCATTTCCTTCAAAAATTTAATTTGTCGCCGTGCACATAAAACATTCATTAAATACATAGCATTCGAATTTGACGTAACAAGTATTCATGTACATATAAGTATACTATACACAGAGAAGTGGAAGGTGAGGAATGGGTTGTCAGTTGTCTTCTCGGGTTGTATATATTGTACAATTTGATTCGCGTTCGATGCAGTGTGAGAAGCGACATGCGAGGAGACGTCGATCATAAATAAAGTATGTAAAGAAAAATGAATCTTCGTTGAACGGAGACATATCGCACGTGTCGGCCAATGATCCCAGATAACATTTTTCAGTTGCGCCTCTTTCTCTTACTTGGGCTGAGATGCAGCAATTTTGTTTTTTCTACTCAAGCGCGCAATTCTTTTTTCTTTCATTGCTAATAAATATCATTGCGTCTATATTTATGAGCTTCAGTGCGTATATACTTTTATCGTCTGATGCACTGTCAAATCGTATATTCGCTTGACTGCGTTTCGCTGTTATCTGGAAGCTAAAAGCTAAACTTGGCGTGTAGAACTTGAAGGCCGAGTTTTCGTGTGTGCGGGCGAACAAACGTCAAGTGCTTAATGCGAAATTACGAAATTATACGACGGCTATTGCATAATAGTAGCGTTTCAGCGAAACGATAATCGAGTGTATTTTTTAATTTCTCGTAAAAGAAATAGATATTTCGCATTTTAGCAAGATGAGCGCGAGTTTGACGTCCAATTGTTCGACTGAAAAGCGAGGAACCGACGGTGATTCCGTGATAAAATTGAAAATTTTGAAATGCAATTGGTCGTTCACTGGCATGCAAATACACTGCTGACTCGGCCGAAAAAAAACTTACCTGACAAACGGAAACGTGAGTTGGGCCAAGCGAGCTCTACTGCACAAATAGGCTAGCACAACAGAGCACAGCGAATAGAAAGAGAGACAGAGGCAGAGAATTGAAAACATAGCTCATGCAACAGATACAAGGTAACCAACGAGTTGTTCGGGGGCGATCGCACGAATGGACGCGTAGACCCGCATGTGTCTGTGTACGATCTCCGTGTGTGTTTGTGTGTTGGCGTGCGTGTGCGCGCGTGTGTCACCTGTTGCTCCGCAGCACTTTTGAGAGCGCCAACTAAAAGCATTCAAAATGAAGAACATGTACGGGGGTGTGCGTGTGGTCGCAAGGTCTACAGCGGATTCTGCGATCGCCATACCAGAGGTATGTTTTGGGGAAGCTTCATTTGTTCTTCCTGGCCAAAACCACACTTGAAAAGTAAGTAGTTTCGTCGAGTAGAGCACGGCCGATCTGCGTGGCAGATCAGCAGCAGTCGCATATATATCAGAGAGAACTCTGAGCGCGGATATACATATGTATGAGATGTAAACAATCGAATTGCTATAACATTGTATTTACAAGATCGAATAAAGTCCACTCATGTTGCAAAAAATGAGCGGATCGACATAGGTAAAGAAAATTGGCGGAAATGGCATTATTACCGCGAGAACGAATGCGCGACTCGTGTCACGTGAGCTGTTTTCTTTGTTCGTGAACAGTTCAGACGTGACGTTCTGTCCCCAAAACCTACCTCGTCCACTTGGCCGAGCGGAGCGCTCGCGTTATGTCGGTTGTTGGTGTTTGTAGTGTTGTTGGCGTTGGTGGTGATGCTGGTGGCGACATTGGTGGTGGCGTTGGTGGTGGTGGTGGTGGTGGACGCGTTAGCGCTGGTCGCAGTGTCCGCGGCGGCGACGGGGGCGGCAAGTGTGCTCGTGCTGTTGTTGAGGGACGCGTCCCTCTCGCGCTCCATGGCAAGCTTGTAGACCTTGTTGCGCAGGGTGCTCCTCGGGATGCCGTACAGCACAGCGGCGCGCCTCGTGCCCAGCTTGCCGCTCTGGATGTCGCGCAGTGCCGCCTGCAGCTCGTCCTCCGTGTAGGTTCGTCTGCCGGCCGCTTGGCCACCAGTCGCGCCCGACGCCGCTACTGTCACCCTCGGCTTTGCCCGGTAGCACGTGCTGCTGCAAATTTCCATTCGCAACCTTACCACATCCGTCTCCGCGAGTCTGCCGATCGATCGCTCCGTAACGTCCTAACGTTCGACGCACTCCCCTAACCTTCGAACTAGATTACCTCGCGACCGACTTTCCCCGCCTACATTCCTATTTTTTAGCTGTAACACACCTATCGAGTCTCCTCTTTGTAATAGGCAAATCGTTTATGAATCACTGATCGCTAGCTGATAGCAAAATAATTGCAGTCCGCATCGCCGCTAAGGACGTTTATTTAGTCATGAATTTTACTTGCTTTGACCTACATATGTCTCGGTTATCTTACGTGAATCTGATTGCAAAAAAATGTCGTTACTTTAGTGCCCGCTGCCATGTCTGCAATCTTTATGGCTGAAAGAGTAAAATAGCGACGATACTACTTTATTCTCTTGTTATTTTATGTGCAAAACAGATTGGAATCTGCAAAATTGGTTTGCGCACGTCAATTTGTCATAGGAATAAAATAGTCTACCGGATATAACAGATATTTTCAGGCAGATTCCGGTGGCAAACTATATCATTGCCACGCTAGTAGTAATAACTAAAATTAGTCAGACGAGCGCTCGCCTGATTAGATTTTAATCATCTCCGAATCGTTGAACTTATTTATCAATGGACAAATTTCATTCCAAATCCTATCCATCACTTACTTTTCGATGGTCGCTTTGCAACAAAAAAAGAGCGTGCTCCACCTTCAGCATAATTGAAAACACTTGCAACGTAAATCAATGTGCAAGAACAATCAATGCAAATTCATTCACTCTCGAACGACAATTACTCGCAGAGACTCGCGCAATTGAAAAGCAAACTGCGCCTCGACGTTATCTCCGCTCGAGATGACTCACATATTCAAATGTCGAATGAATAATCCGGTTCAAAGTCGAAAATTGTACGGCGCAGCAAATTCAATTTTCTCGCGGACACGTTTTGCCGCTCTGACGTCAGTGCGAAAATTTTGAAGCAGGCGCGCGATACTACACACGTGTCACCTATTGTTCTAATCGCTGAAAACGTTATTGGCTCTCTCGCGTGTCAACTGACGCCGTTCCTCCCAAAATTTAACGACTAAAAGTATTTTTTACATTTTCGAAACGATAGCGAAGCCTTACATTTTCTTTCATTATCGCTAAAGGAAATTTAGCAGTCGGTTTGAAGTTCATTGCGTAAATGATGTTGCAATTTGGATGCATTGTAAGGTGAAGATAGCAAACGCACATATTTGTCGAACACATTATTATGAGTACACAGAATGTGATTACTGCATTTTTTGTGGATGATTTATCAATGTCTATCAAATTATTGAGGTTTCAATGTTAATTCTATACCAAAAAATAATGAACCATGAAAGCAGTCACTCAAACTAAAATAATAAAGATAAATTCCAGGCGAAGGATGTTGATAAAAAGACAACCAATTTTAGAGAATAACCAATTACAATAAATGATATTGCTTCTTCCTTCTTAGTATCTTCGCGATATCAATCAATACTTGGATTCGTGTTAACCAATGAGCTTCGAGTAAATGAAAGTTCAAAGTTCATTGGTATTTCAATGCAATTACAGCCAAAAGGAACAAAATTATTTGTGCATCCCATTGTAAAAACTTTAACAATTTCCGAGCGTAAAGCAGTGAGTAAGAAGCAAAACTATAAGCTGAAACAGTTCGACACCTCAAGTGGTAAAGTTAAGTGAAACATTTACCGATAGAAGAAATGACGATTAAAAATATCGCCGACTACAGAGCAAAACAGCAGTGGTACGTACGGTCTCGAATCAACCTAATTTAAAAAAAAAAGAGAAAAATTGCAAAGGAACTCGGCTCGTCATAACGTCAACATTCGGAGTCGAGGCGTTTAACCGATAAACATCACGAAAGTGCAGCTTCGGGTGGCGATAAGATTAGTCTGTTTCTTTGACGATCATCGACGATGAGATGGCCCTCCCTCGCCCGGCGCATGTATGCTCTTAGTGTTGTGGCGTGCACACGCAACGGCGACGCCGGCAGCTCGTTTGTGCCTGCCTCCTCCCGCGCAATGTGTGTACGTATACGCGGGTTCGTCGACCTCGCACGCCAACTAAGTAAGAGTGCATGCAACGAGCCGTGTGTGCGTGTGTGTGTAGGCGACGATACACGTACACACATTCATGTTCAATTCGTTGGCAAAAATGAAACTCGGGGGGGTTAGCGTCAACGCCAGTTTAGTTTTTCGCCGCCTGCAATTTTGAGGATTTTTTCGACTCTGATGCTGGCGAACTGAGTAGACGTAATATTTTGGGAATTCGCGGAAGCAGTGAAACTTTACAAGTACACGGAAATATTGAATAAAATGAACAATATCTAAATGCTTTCTGACAGAATTTTAATATTCAAAAAAGTTTCACCATTTTTATTTTCGTGCGTTCGAACGAATAAAAACCTTCAAACACTAATATCAGTATTTATACAACTGAATATTTAACATTCAAAAAGTTTCTGATTGATCGATAGCAGGTGTTACAGTATTTTAAACCAAGATTTTAGATGAAAATATCCTCGCTTTCGAAAATAATGAACAGCGTCGAAAACAAATAACGTATTCACTTGAAGTATATGTTATGTTGAATCAATGAGACCTTTTTCAAAGCCACGTCTGCTATTGTTAATTTTTCGTAGACGATACTGTCGAGTAAAACGATAAATCTGATCGGATGAGAAGAGCCAAGCGTTTCTTAATTATTGGATAAAAATATTAACGCAATAGCGTGTACGTTGAAAGACACGTCAAACAGGATTTGAGAAGCCTGTCAGCGACTTGAAAGTCGAGTGCAATCGCAGTCGCGGAGCAAATAACGATTGTCGGCGGACGCGTGAATAATAGACGGCGATAAAAATTAGACGAAGCGAGGGAAAAAAAGCGAAAGAACGACGAAAAAGAGGCTTTACGCTCGAGCTAGTGTCGGGCAGGCGAGCGGGCGGACAAGTCGCGTACAAACATACACGAACGAGAGTGGTATAGCCACGGAGCAGCAGCAGCAGCAGCAGCAGCAGTAGCACTGAGGGCAACGCACTTTTCTCTCTCCGTCTCTTTTCCTCTCTCCCTCGCGCGCGCTCGACACATCTGAACGCGCGACTCTCGCCAAACCGGCGTAGATTTCTCTGGCGACCCCCTCGCTGTACGCGCGCGCGCGCGCGCGGCGCTGCCGCCGATGAGCGTGCTTGCAAGCTCGCGCGCGCCAAATTCCGCCTGTAAATAATGCCTTCGACGCGTCAAACTTTGAATGCTGCTCACTTATTGCCCCGCCAAATCGGTTTATACGCGACGCGTTCGTCGAAATTTTCGCCAAATAGCGATACGCAAACTCACGCGTCGACGAGTAATAGCTGGTCGCGTTGTCGCGCGCGGACGGTCGGACGAAACTGGATTTTCGCGGAAAAGTGGTTTCTCGCTGGCGAGCTGAAATTGCAACGAAGATTGCACTGTGGCTGACGAAAAAAATCATCGATCGAAGATGAGTCAGGCTACACGCGAAAGAATGTAAGTAGGAGGAGCAGTACGTTTACATGGCTGATAAAGCCAAGTTGGATAAGGAATTACCGAGACTGCCCCTGTCATCGACCCCGAACGCGTTGTTGGTAGCGGCAGGGTGTTCGATCGGTTTATAAGCTCTTTTTTTCTCTCTATTTATAAATGACAATATTCCGGTGACCGCGGCGGCGGCGGCGGCGGCGACGGCGGCAGCCGCGAGATACTACGCGCGTTTGCGCAATTTCACTTACACTTTAATGCTATCGATTCATACATGGTATATATGCTCATTAATTACTCATCGTCTCGATCGATAACTATCTCGTTTACAAGAAATATATTTGGATATGCACACGTGTTTTCGCATTTATATCGGCCTCTCTCATTTTTTTCCGTCCTTTAATTTACGAGCCATGCGAACGATTTTGCGGAGAATTATATGAAGCGCGAAACGCAAATCACCGTAGCGAAGGTCACGTTGTGTTAGAAAGCAGACCAGACAATTATTTGGTCAGAACTAAGACGACGATCGTTGTGGGTCATGCAAATCAAATTCAAGTATGTTAGATGTCAAGATCTTTTTACGTAGATGCCCCCGACCAGCATTGCAATGCATAGACGTGTGCCGTGCGTCTAAATTGATGTGAGAGTGCTTTTAGACGAAAGTGCTTCTCTGTTTATAGCCGCGATGGGCACCCGATCGGATAAAGTCGTCGACAAATTCAATGCGAATGAGTCGCATTCCTTATTGATATTAAAAATAATCAACGTCCTCATTGAACGTCGTCGTCGTAAAAAAAAGTCGAGGAAGCGCGTACTTGAGCTCGAAGGCTTTGACTTTTCTATTACACAAGGCCGACACTGCCGAGCGATTGCAAACTCGCGTTGTTGAAAAATTTTCATTTTTTTTAACTGCACCTGCTGTGTTAACCTTCGGACAGCGTGTTTCCGTTTCGAAAAAAAATAAAATAGACGTATCGATTTGATAATTGCGTTGTAAATCATGTCTCGCAGTTGCGTACACATACGCTACGCAGCTCTTGTCAAGTGAATTATTGGTATTTGTTTTGGCTTACACTTACTTGAAAATAGCTTTCGGATCGATGGCTGCTGACATTCGAAGAGGTATTTTTTGTTGATCCAATATAGATATGTTGTTGTCCTGCAATTAAATAAAATCTCAATGTTTTTTAGTGCCGAGAGCCAAAGAAAAAAATCAGAAAAACAGTTGCAGTTGATAAGGTCGTCACAGCGATAAAATGAAACACAATCGTCAAATGTTTGCCTTGCGAAATTCTGAAAAATTCATTCGCTTTATCGGTTCGCGGAATGTTTCCGAGGCTTTCGGCTCTAATATCAAATAAAATTTCCGAATTCATTTAATTGACGCGTACGTATATTTCGCGTTGATTTATACGTTAAACGCGCGCGCGCATTTTTATTCAATTACTCAACGGGAAATCCAGAAAAACGTTTTGCCAGTCTTTATTTTTCTTTCTACTAATTGATGACACACTAGACGAATGAAAATGTTACCTGCGGATTTTTGGGCTTGGCGGAGAGATCGAGCGGTTGGTCGGTGCCATGATTGTCCTGGTTGGCGGCTGCCGCGGCAGCGGCGGCGGCGGCTGCAGCAGCTGCAGCCGCTGCGATCACGTGTGGTGGTTCCCTGGGCGGCAGACACCACTGGGGCAGCAGAGTCGGATAGGTGCCACCGAGGGCCGCAGCCACCATGGACGCCGCCATGGGATCAACTTGCACCGACATCGGCGACTCGGCCGATCGGGAGCTGTTGCTGCTGTCGCTTTGCGGACTCTGTGCCAAGAGGAAAGCACGCGCCTCTCGTTAATATTACTACGCTACGCAGCGAAACTCGTGCCGAGATATTGTACTCGTGTATATGCAAGTACGTGCACGTTGCTGATTAGTTTTGCCGTAGCGAGGGCTTTGACAGGTTTTTGGCTCTAACTCGATTGGCGGAAAGCAGCGGGGGAAGTATCAACTGTTTTCGTAGATCGGAGTTAGGTTCTCGGTGGAACTCTGGGCGAGATCTATCATTGGAAGTTGAGAAAATGATCCGCAAGCAGAGCTAACGCTTGTGAGACTACGGGAATACTACAAGGCGATCGGGGTTCGACCGGCGAGAAGCGAGAACTCACAAGAGGCGGCTGCTCGTCGTGCGGCAACTTGCCATCGAGGCAAAAGTAGCACTTGTCCAGCGGCTTCCAGTCCTCGGGCGGTGGGCTCTGATGCCGGCCCAGCACGAACGAGGGCGTGCAGAACTGTAAGAGCTCCTTCTTGGGAGGCGTGGAGGCACTCCTCGCCTCGGCGATGACGTGCAGGGGCCCGTTGTTGTTGCTGCTGTGGAGCGGCGTGGAAGTCGGCCTGCTCGGGCAGTTCTCCTGCAGCTCCTCCTCCTTCTTTACCCTCAGCAGGCCTTGCGTCAGCGGCACTCTCGGCTCCAAGCCCGTCTCCTCCTTCGCTTCCTGCAAATGAAGGTCGAGCCTCGTGAGAACGCTGACTCGTCGGGCTGGCGCGAGGACGAAGAGGCGTGCCTTGGTTCCCGCCGTGTCGTCGGCGTGCTCGAGGAGGGACCCGTTGCTCTGCTGGTCGTGGCTGTTGGGCCTGAGCCTGTCCTCGAGCTGGTCCCTCTTGATGGCCGCTTGCTGCTCGCTGCTCGTCAGCAGTGGCGCCGAGTCCTCGTCGCCCGCGCCGTCGCCGTTCTCCTGGCTGGCGCTCAGAGGGCCGCCGCCGTTCTCGCGGGCGCCCTCCGCGAGCCGCCCGTTCTCCGGGCCGCCCGTCTCGTCGGCGCGTCGGGGCGACGAGCCGCCCCCCAGGCCCAGTGTGCAGTTTGTCGTGGCGACGCCTTCTGTCAACACTCCTGCCTTTGATTGCTGCGGCTGCTGCTGCTGCTGCTGCTGCTGCTGCTGCTGCTGCCCCTGACTGCCGCTGCTGTGGTCGTTGTGGTTGTTCGCTAGGCTTGCCTTCAGTGACTGGCTCGCTGAGTCTCCCGGCTTTGCCTGCTGCACCTGCTGTCGTTCAACAATTCGTCGTAATCTTTGGCATTTTTCCTTTCCATCCTTACGACGGCTGACCCTACACGACCTTTTCTACTGATTCGGGCTTCGACGAAGATTCAAAGTCGAAAGTAGCAGGCAGTTGATAAACTAACAGTCGCAGTGGGATAACGAGTCGAAATGGAGGTTTGCCGATGGAAACTAAATGCGAATTAATAATAGGAAAATGATGCGGATTCCGACTGAAACAGCTGATTTACGCGTGCTTGTCCAGTCACTGTGCACGTCGGACGAAAATAGTAACGGGCAAGAGAAGAAAAAAGAGGTACGAGGATGATGGATAATGACCTGGGCCAGCTGTTGAAGCTGAAGCTGAAGCTGCTGTTGGCTGATAGCGGTGGCTGTGTTGTCGGTGCTGCGAGTGCCGCTGCTGTACAGGGTGTCTTGGTACTGCTTCCATCTCCTACGGCCCATCAACTCCTCCGCGACCCGCTCCAGACCTGTGACAGCACCACGACTACATTCAAACAATTATGCGGCCATCCCTCACCCCCTCGAGCTTTCATTGGCATTTAGCGCTGCCCGCCTGCTTGGCGTTATTACCGCGCACCCGAAGCTTCCCTCGTTCGCATGCCCGTGCATTTTTATTTCTAATGTGTACGATCGTCAAAGGAGCAATTTGCAAATGACTCAATTATAGAAGTGAGCTAGCGCGCGATACGGGCGGAGCTTTTCGCCAGATTAAATTTGCCGGCTGCTTATCTATACAGAAAAGGAACATGCGGGCGTTTTTTTATTATTTCTTTTTTTTTTTCTGTTTTTTCTTTTTTGTCTCTTTCCCTCTCCCTCTCTTCGCCTAAAGCGAAGAGTCTAGTCTTATCTTTCCCTCTCACTCGGTGTGACGCATCTCTCGGTTTTGACTCAGAGCTATTATACTCTCGGTAGGTGGAGCGAGATAAGACCTGCTCATCGGCTGCATCGCTGGCATTGGCCAACCGAAGGAAAACGACTGCGAAAAAAAAATGATCTCTCTCTTTTTCAAGGATTCGATTGGACTTGTTACTCGCCGAGGAGCATAACTTTTCCAAGTTCTTTCTATTGGCAATCACTCGCCGAAGGTTTCTGCAAACTTGTTTTTCAGTGACTCAACGAAACATTGTTTCTAGAGAAAAGCATGAGCTTGAAGAAACTGCACAATTCGATTGCATAACTCGTCGGCTGCTATGTAACGTTCATAGCCTATTACTCATATAAACATTGTCACGTGAATCATCATAGAGTCCACATTAATATTTTAGAGCTTCGATGTGCGAGTTCAAGTGTTCCGTGCGAGTCTTTTTTTCAATACGCCATTGCGGAGTTTCATTGCACGTGCTGGGCCGCAATTGATTTTGTTGAACACTGCGCGACAGTCCGTCTATGGTCATTAGGGGCACACTGAGAGACATGGTGCTAAGTAAAGAGATCGTTTAGGCCAACAGCTGTAAGTAGGAATAAAGATGATTGCCGAGCATAGAGCACGGAAGTTCGCTGATCACAAGAGATTGTGTATAATGCATTGCGAATGCACACGTATGAAATTATTGATTTTCGCATTCTATAAAAAGTGTGACACGTTAAAAGTACGACTTTTGTGATGAAAGCTTTTTCATGTCTAGAAACCACGATCAAATGGATCGATTGGTAGAAACAAATTTTTGCTTATGAATACTATTCCTACAATAGTGTAATTTTGATAAAAAAAAAAAGAAACAAAGCGGAAGTGGTCAGCGCAAGCTAACAAAAAAGAAAAAATAATAAATAAAAGAAAGAAATACATCTATAGAGTGTATGGAGTAAGGGTATATACTGTATATACAGTATGTACCTATTTCCGCGGCAACAGCAGAGCCCCGCCATTCTCGGCCGCGAGGAATTCACAAATTAAATTGCTCGATCGGCCAGCGGCGCTTGCTCGTGTGTGTACGTGTGTGTATACCTATATGCACATTCACGCAAACATGCACACTCGATTTGCGGACGCGTCCGGCCAAACAAATCATTCGTCATTCATCGGCCGCCCGGAGTCATTCTCGAAAATGCAGTCCAATATGCGAGCGCGAGCAACAACAGCAACAACAACGACGAACAAAAAATTAAAAAACGAAAAAAGAAAGAAAAACCCTGAAGCAAGCCGATCGAAATAACGAAATATTCAGGAAACACGCTGTTGATTTATTTAGTTTATTGGCTTGACCGATTGCGGCTAGCTTAATTGATTGCCGCATTGACAAAGCTTGTCAGCTTCGGTTCTTTTTCTTTTTTTCTACCGAACGCTACATTTGCTCCTAGTTCTCCATTTAATTTATTCGATTCGTACATAGGATATTCATGCATTAATTAATTGACGTGGTGCACTGAGCGAATGCATTTTTAAAATGCATAGATCGACAAAGCTACTTGCTGAAATGAATGTTTCTTTTTTGCAATCAAGTAATTAGATTATTATATAAACAACTTGTGCGGCTCGCTTAAAAAATGAATAGTGCTTTTATAAACTTTACGATAATATCTGTTATTCTTGATAAATTTTCATGACGCTTTATTGAATGCCAGTCACGTAATTTTGTGCATTTTCAAGCATCCCTCATATTCGAAATTACTGCATAGACATACACAACCCTCGGAATTTTCCAAATATTGCCGAACAATGTACCATTATTGATGGAATGAAAATGAATTTATGATATGCGAATTACAGCAATGCAATCAATTAACTCGTCCATGCCAGACGACTCTATTACAATAACATCGAAAAAAAAATTATAATATAGAAATTATATTTCATTCATAATTTTATCTGATAAGCATGAAAAAATTTGTTCGACGAGTTGTCACGCTTTGAAAAGTGCAAGCTTATTTAATTTACTTTATTAGATTAGACGAAGACCTAAGATTTTCCCAAAAATTTTTAGGTCTTCGCTAATCTAATTTGAGAACTGAAAATTTCTTCTTGCTGTCATTTCTGTATCGCCGGTCGATGAGCAATACTTTACTCGCAGTCGAAATGGAGCTGCGTTACAAATGAAATTCGAAAAAAAAAAAAAAAAAGAAGGTCGCGAAAAATTTCAAACATTCATTCCAGTCAATTGGATTTGATAGCAGCAAACGGACAAACAAGAAAAGGGATGAAGAGCGAAAAAAGTAAAAGCAGAAAGGGGACACGGTCGGCGTTCGAAAGTAGCGCGAGCGCGTTAGCGCCGGGCTTGAAAAACATGTGAATAAATGATTACTGTTTGTCGAATGTTTTGAGCCAATAGAGGAACATGCACACACACACGCGCGCGCGTCTCCGTACAATAACGTATGCGCCGTTGCATTATCTAGCGCATTTGTCTTTGGCATGAGCGACTGCTTTTCATTGCACCATTTTCAGCATTCCGACTTATTTTGGTTTCGCGCGCGCTTTTAAACTGTCCGGTCACCGCTTATCAAGAGGCGCGAACACGTGCAATTCAGCAAGCCGTTTACGGAAATGTCGAGCGAAGCGTCAGGACCGTTACGGTGAGAGTCGCCGTAGCAAGTGATTCTTTAACGCGCTTCGCTGCGTGAGCGTCGCGCAGTCGTCGAGAAAGCTACGCATTGCGCTCCTTTTCCTGTATTTTTTTATTTCGTGTGCAGCCCGCGTTTTTACATAGCTTCGATCTGTTATCGAAACACGCTAAATTTAATATTTTTTTCTTTTCGCTTATTCCGAGTGCACTTTCACCGATTCTTGATAGTTCACCCACGTCTTTTTTCTATAAATACGATTAGCATTTTGGAGAAATGTATGGAATTATTTCTGAACTGATATCGTGAAAATCAAAAATACTTTTTTGTTGACCTACAGAGAAAACTATCCTTAAACAAGTTACTTAATAATAAGTAACAAGTATAAGGAGAACAAAAATCGAATGTGATGATATAAAAGTGAAAATAAATTATAACGTCAGGCATTGTGTCAAAAGCAAGCGAACCAATTGAAGTAAAACGCGATATGGAAATAAGCAAAAAGGAGAGAATGAAAAAAATGACGTGGAGCGATCGGGAGAAGAGAAAGAAAGAGGGGAGGAGATGGAAGAAAATAGAAATCCTTGAGATTCAAGGCTGCCGATGAAGGAAGCATCTTGCCTAACTGTCATTATGAGCACGAAGCTGGCGGACGGATGTGGCAGAGAAAGAGAGGAAAAAAAGGGATTGCAGAACGAACGATTGTAGAAAAGGCCGCTCGCGGAGGATATTTGCGTGATGGTGCGGTGACTTAGAATGCAGCATGAATAATGAGAGACGTCCTTTTCGGATAGGAAGTCGAGAATTCGCGGCCTGTTATCTAGACGTTTTATTGGGAATTTGATTACGGCATGCCGTAATTGTTATTCAGTACGACGATGCAATATGTTTCGACTTTCCATTAAATTTATTGAAATTGCTGCGACTACGAGTAGATGTAGCTGTTAGCGTAATTCTTACTTAGTTGCTCATGTTGCCCAACTCAAAATAGAACAGAGTTATGTGCGAATTTTTTTTTCTTACAGAGGTAAATTTTAGAATAGCATTGTTTCCGAGATGGCTAAGAAACACAGTAGGAGTCGAATCGATAACAATGTATCGAAACCTTGAATCACGGGAAATTTCACGACAAAACTGATCAAATTCGCGCAAGCCGATGATTTTAACTTTGAGAGACGCGCGTGCGCATGCGTTACTCTAAGAGCCGATTTCCAGCGAGTATGACGAAAATCGGCACAATGATGATACGCCCGTCGATCGCTCACACGCGTCATGACAGAAATAATTGCAAAATACGTGAAAAAATGCAACGAAAAATCATCCAGTCATATAGACGATTAAGTATATAGTTAATACGCACGTGATTCTATTTTAAATTGAACAATCATTGCGTCCAAGCGTAATACAACCTTAATGAAAACTTTTCTTTTCCGCGTTTAGATTAAGCTGATATTAAAGTTTCTTGGAGCTGATTTCGCCAAGATCCATAATTAACATGTGGCGTCATTTTGAATTTTTCCAACAAAGAGGAATCGAAGCACAAAACAAGAAAAATCAAGATTCAGCAGTTTTTCCTCGAGTAGACAACTGCTGCGTGAATGTCCATCAGTGCAAACGTCAATTTTGTTTTGAAGTTGCACTCTGCCCACAGCTACTCAAGTCGCTGGGCGCGTGTACCAACTTTGCCAAGGTCAAGCGGTGAGTAACGAGAATCGGAAACGAAATCGATTGGACGCCGCGTTCGACGACACTTTCCGCGCACATGCACGCGCAATTGCGCTTAATCGAAAAACGACCGATTATTTTTCTCTCGAAAATGACGATAAATTACTATCAGTTGAGCGATGACGCGCGACCTTTCACGCGGCGAATGACACATTGTATATCGCCAACATATCGCTCCTTTTTTTCCTTCGTAGTTTAGCTCTAGGCGCACCCGAGAACAAGTGCGTACAAAGAGAGGCCGCGC